GGAGGGGGGGGGGTCTCGGTCAAGGCTACGCAAGGACAGCGCGCTCTGGCTCTAGGCACGGCGGGCGGGGGCGCATCCCAAATAACCTGATCTGAAATCATGAATACGGCAACCGGCTGAACTTGGAACGGCCTTGGGAGAGTATCCACGGTTGGTGCGCCCGGCGTATGGTCTACTGCTGGCTTTTGCAAAGCGCTAAACAGTGAAATATACCCCCCCTTCCCCTCCACACACACACACACGCACATACGCCGCAGCCGGGAATGGGAACTGGGCAAAACAGTTTCGTTGACGTCAAAATGACGCGTTGTCTCAACAGTGACGTGCTTGTCGGCGGCGCGGATCGAGACAGCAGGAGTGCCGCAGAGAGTACCACAGCGGAGTGCCGTGGCGTGTGCGAAAGAGAGGGGGGGGGGACGCTAGTAACTGGATGGCCCTTTATCAAGGGGTTATCAGCAAGCTTCCGCGCCCACACGGGCCCGACAACCAGGTACGGCCCGCGTGTAAAAAAAGAGGGGGAAAAACGAGTGGTGAGCGAGAAAGATGTGGGCATGTGTGGCTGTCTGTACAGCTTCGAGACGAACACCGAACAGCGCGGGAAAGGTGCGACTTCCCGTCACGCGGTTTTACTTTTCGCATTTCGCACCCAACTGCCTGGTAAGGCCCTAAAAAAAATGAAGCATGGTGATTCTAAAGAAGATGGAAAAAATACGCCAGAGTGAAATCCTACGACAAAAGAAACAAATCTCGAGCGAGCTTTTGAATTGCATCACCGACTGCGAGTGGTGCCATTTGACATATGCACGCAGGGCAATACAACTTACGTAAGAAATGAATGGGTAATGTTTTTATCACTTCAGTGCGTCAGAAACCAGAGCGAGACCGAGTGACATAGAGACGTGTAAGATACCCTTCCCCAAGCAACAAGCGAAAGGCGTTTTGAAAACGAAAAACAAAAAAACAAGTTCGAAAGACTACATCTCGACTCGTTGATGGGAGTTTGCAAGAGGTCAAGTCCAGGTCGAGGCGGGGGGCAGCTAGGGCTATCCCATCACACGTGCTATCAGCACCGGGGCCGGGGGGTGGTGGAGGGGGACTGACTGGCAGCCGCGGCGGAAGTACAACGTATGGAAATGAGACACCTCTGACTTGTAACCACACAATCGGCAAATCCCAATATTGGTGAGGCGCCCCTTCCCAGCCAACTGCATAATAACTGCAGGCTTCCATTTCACGTCCAAAACTGCGAGCATGCCGTCATTCCCCCGCTGGGTCCACATAAAGGGGTCGCTCACGCTTCACGAAGCAGAAGGGAAGTCACTCGCGAAACAAAATTAAGTAAGGAAGAACGAAAAAGAAACGCGCCTTGTCTATGCAGTACGATCTCGCAAAGAGCATCTTCAAAAGCAGCGAACTATTTGCGAATTTTCATTTTTAAAACTTCTGCTTCCGTCCAGATCAGATCACTTCAAGCCGGACGCAAGTTTTCCCCCGGAATCGGGAAGATGCGTGCGAGACGTACTCCACACTGGCCAAACTACGCAGCAAAAGCATGCGGAGATTGGCGCACCAAGTCGGCACGCCGGGCTGTGTGAGCGAAACCACCTTGGAGCGAAACATCCAATCAGAATTCCACACACGACGGAACATTACGAGAGCCGAACATCACACACCACGAGCGAGTAATCCAAGCAGCGATACACACCAGAGAACCACCGGCTGAGATGAAGTCCTGTCTGGACCGCGTTAGCTCTGGGACTGGCACCGGCGTCAGCGTGCGCCGGGAACATGTTGGCTCTGGCGGCGGGGCGTGGCGCGGGCGCACCGGGGTGGGGCGGGAT